GTAATGACCCTTGGCCATGCGAGGGAGGGGACAGAGCTGTTGCTTTGGATGAAGGGGGTGGGACGTGCAACCCCCTGAACAGCTGTCTGCGGTGGAGAGGAATGTGGCAGGCCCCCAAGGAGCTCTGGGCTGCATGTTGGAGGTCAGCCTGGGGGCAGGGAGGGCCCCGCCCCCCCCCCCCCCCTCCCGAATGTGGGAGACCTGGACTGGGTGTTAGAGGCTTGCCCTTTCCCACAGGGCCCAAGGTGCAGCCCTACCTTCCGGAGCTGATGGAGTGTATGCTGCAGCCTCTGAGGAATCCCAGCAGTCCCCGGGCCAAGGAGCTGGCCGTGAGCGCCCTGGGGGCCATTGGTGAGGAGAAGGGGGTAGGGTCCCGGGTTTCCCCAGAGAGCCTGGGGCAGGTGGTCCCAGCGGTCCCCACTCCAGCGCTGAGTCCCTGTCCTTCCGTCTCCCAGCCACAGCTGCCCAGGCCTCCCTGCTGCCCTACTTCCCCACCATCATGGAGCACCTGCGGGGATTCCTGCTGCCAGGCCACGAGGACCTCCAGCCTGTGCAGATCCAGAGCCTGGGTGCGTCAGGGGCTCAGGCAGGTTCCCGGGGCCGGGGAAGGGCCGAGGTGTTCATGGAGCTTGCCCCCAGGGCGGCACAGCTGTCTTCTCGGATTGCTGAATTGCCCCCCCAGCTGCCGTCTTCGCTCGCCTACGGTTTGGCCCTGCGCCCCTCTGGCTCCTCGTGGCATCCTAGCACTAACCCAGCACTTCTGCCCCCCCCCCCCGACAGAGACGCTGGGGGTGCTGGCTCGAGCAGTGGGGGAGCCCATGCGGCCCCTGGCTGAGGAGTGCTGCCAGCTGGGGCTGGGCCTGTGTGACCAGGTAGACGACCCTGACTTGCGGCGCTGCACGTGAGTGAGCCCCCACCCCAACCCCCCGCCCCTGCCCCGGCGCCTCCTGCCCGCCCACTGGACCCCCAGCCCTGAGCCCGGAACCTGGTCCTCTGGTTCCAGACCGTGGGGTGCCCCCCGGCTCCCCGGTTTTGTCTGGCTCCGGCGGCCGGGACTGTTCGGCTTCCACCTGTCTCCCCCAGGTACAGCCTGTTCGCGGCTTTGTCGGGGCTCATGGGTGAGGGCCTGGCGCCCCACCTGCCACAAATCACCACACTCATGCTGCTGTCCCTGCGCTCCACTGAGGGCATTGTGGTGAGCGGAGAGCGGGCGGGCTGGGTCGGTTGGGGAAGGGCGGCCCTGGGGCGGCATCGAGACCTGCTCGCGGCTGAGCCAGCGTCCCTGCTGTGCCTCGTCTGGCCAGCCTCAGTACGACGGAAGCAGCTCCTTCCTTCTGTTTGACGACGAGAGTGAAGGGGAAGAAGAGGAGGAGCTCATGGACAAGGATGAGGAAGACGAGGAGGACTCCGAGATCTCAGGGTGCGGAGGGGTGCCGTTCCCGGTCTGAGGAACCCCGGTTTTGGGCGGGGCCCCGTGTGGGACCCGCCCCTGCTGGTGCCTGATCACTGGCGCCTCGCCCCCCAACCCCCGCTGTAGGTACAGTGTGGAGAACGCCTTCTTCGATGAGAAGGAAGACGCCTGTGCCGCTCTGGGGGAGATCTCTGTGAACAGCAGGTGAGCCTCGGCCCTTCCCGACACTGGGAACCCCGCCTGGGAGCTCCTGCCCCACGGCTGTGTGTCCGTCCACAGTGTGGCCTTCCTTCCGTACATGGAGAGCGTCTTCGAGGAAGTATTCAAGCTGCTGGAGGTGAGAGGGCCAGGCGGCTGGCGCGGGTGGGCTGCGCGGGGTCCCGCGCCGGCCGTGAACACGACAGGCCCGTCCCGCCCCTCCTGGTCCCGCAGTGCCCTCACCCGGACGTGCGGAAGGCGGCCCACGAGGCCCTAGGGCAGTTCTGCTGCGCACTGCACAAGGCCTGTCAGAGCTGCCCCTCGGGAGCCAGCACCGCGGGTGAGCAGGGGAGGCCGGGGCCCCTGGAAACCGGGGACGGTGCCGGGGCGGGGGTGGGGGGAGGCCAGGGCCTGACCGGGGCCTCAGCCGACGATGCCCCCAGCTCTGCAGGCCGCCCTGGCCCGGGTGGTGCCGTCCTACGTGCAGGCGGTGAGCGGGGAGCGGGAGCGCCAGGTGGTGATGGCCGTGCTCGAGGCGCTGACGGGGGTGCTGCGCGGCTGCGGGCCCCTCGCGCTGCAGCCCCCCGGGCGTCTCGCCGAGCTCTGCGGCGTGCTCAAGGCCGTGCTGCAGCGGAAGGTGAGCGGGGCGGGCGGGGGCTGCGGGGCGAGGGGCCGGCCGCCCCCCGCCCCCACTCCCCGAGCAGGCTTGCCCTCCTGCTCATGACGGAGAGAAGGGGAGGGAGAGCCCAGGCTGAGCTGAGCTCTCCTTCTGCAGACAGCCTGTCAGGACACTGACGCTGAGGAGGAGGAGGAGGAGGAGGGGGAGCAGGTGAGGGCCCCGGACGCACAGTGGGGCCAGGCTGTCTGGGGGGATGTCCGCAGGGCAGGGATGGGCAGTGGACCGGGGCTTGGCCTGGGGGAGCCAGGGCTGCTAAAAGGTTGGTAATGGCTCTGAAAGGTGCATCCCTGCTCCCACGAAGGCAGCGGAAGTTCAGGAAAGGCTTTCTGGGGGGGGGGGCCGGGGGGGCGGGGGGGGGGGGGGGGGGCCGGATCCAGAGGGGAGAGTAGGCGTGCCAGGAGAAAAAGCTGGGCCTCACACGAGCCCAGCCTGGAAGGGGCCAGTCCTGTCAGCCCAGCACAAGCCCTGGGGACCACCTGTGGCAGTGGCAGAGCACCCAGGAGGTGCTTCCCCCCCCCCCCCCCCCCCGCTGTGGCAGAGCTAGCCACGGTGCTCTAGCCCCTGACCCGGCCCCGCAGGCCGAATGCGACGCCATGTTGCTAGAGCATGCTGGAGAGGCCATCCCTGCCCTGGCCGCCGCGGCGGGGGGAGACGCCTTTGCCCCCTTCTTTGCCAGCTTCTTGCCACTACTGCTGTGCAAGATGGTGAGTGCTCCGCGCCCTGGCCTCGAACCCCATCCTGCCCGTGTGCCCTGTGCCTGCCCCCCCACACACGTTCCCAGCCCCAGCTGGACTCGCAGTCCTAACCTCCCCCCTCCACCAGAAACAGGGCTGCACGGTGGCAGAGAAGTCCTTTGCCGTGGGGACGCTGGCAGAGTCCATTCAGGGCCTGGGTGGCACTTCCGCCCAGTTCGTGTCTCGGCTGCTCCCTGTGCTGTTGAGCACAGCCCGGGAGGCCGACCCCGAGGTGCGGAGCAATGCCGTCTTCGGGCTGGGCGTGCTGGCAGAGCACGGGGGCCGCCCTGCTCAGGAGTATCCTCAGCGTGCGGGCGGGGGCCGGGGGTGGGGGCAGAGCATCCCTGGGGCTCGAGGATGGGAGGTGTCTGTCCGTGGGCCTGTTCCTTGACTGTGGGACCAGGTACTTCCCCAAGCTGCTGGGGCTTCTGTTGCCCCTCCTGGCACGGGAGCGCCACGATCGCGTCCGTGACAACATCTGTGGGGCGCTGGCCCGCCTGCTGATGGCCAGCCCCATGAGGAAACCAGAGCCCCAGGTGAGGCAGGGGGCAGGACCCAGAAGCTGCCTGCGGTGGGGGGGGAGGGGGCGAGGGCACAGAACAAGGGGCCTGAGGCGTCTCTGCGTCCAGGTGTTGGCCGCCCTCCTGCACGCCCTGCCGCTGAAGGAGGACTTGGAGGAGTGGGTCACCATAGGGCACCTCTTCAGCTTCCTGTACCAGAGCAGTCCTGACCAGGTAACTCGGAGGGGGGCTTGATGCTCCGCGCAGAGGCAAGCTTGGCCCCCCTCGTAGCTGACGCAGAGCCGCAGCTGAAGCTGCCCGCGGACGCTCCTGTGTCATTGGTCTGCGAGGGTCAGCGGCCAGGCCCGTCACAGCAGAGGGCGGGCCCCCTCTCGCCACGAAGCGTTTTTCCCCTAGGGAGCCCCGTCCTCCCTGGCCATGTGCACCCTCTGGTGTGAGCCAGAAGCCACAGCTTCCCTGGGCTGACTTCCTACAGCCAGGCTCCTTCACACTGTGTTCCACGCACACCCCCCGCCCCTTCCACTCAGAACAGCTCTGCTTTCTGAATGAGATTCGTCTGCGCCAACTAGCTAGGTTTGGACCCGGGTAGCCGCATTCCTGTGTCGTCCACCTCTGCCCTGCACCTTTAGAGACCGTTGTGTTGGTGGACCTCCTGAGTGTCTGGGCTTCTTTTGGTCTTAAGTTCTGTCTCCTTCAAAAAAACATTATTCCCACCATGTTTCACGGGTCCTTTTTGGGTTTCCCAGTGGTCTTGGATGTGAAACAGTATCACGCATAAAGTGTCCTTGGTGGGAGACTCTGCCTGTCCTTGGTCCTGGGGCCCCGGGGTGCTGGCAGCCCTGAGTCAGCCATTCCCCGCCACCCCCGCAGGTTGTAGACGTGGCTCCGGAGCTCCTGCGCATCTGCAGCCTCATTGTGGCTGAGAACAAAATCCCACCAGGTGAGGGTGGCGGTCGTGGGCAGGGCCAGGGGCAGGTCGGGGAGGGGCGCAGCTCGCTAGAGATTTTGGGGGCCAGTCCTCCCCGATCTCTCCCTCTCCGCTCTCCACCCAGATACCAGGGCCTCACTGCTGCAGCTCCTGACGTTTCTGGCCAGACAGCACACCGACAGCTTCCACTCGGCCCTGGGCTCACTGCCTGGTGACAAAGCTCAGGAACTCCAGGCCGCCCTGGGCCTCACCTAGACTGGCGGCTGCAGCCGGGCCAGAGAGAGCAGAGCCTGCCCAGGCCCAAAGAACACCTCTCAGCCCAGTTTCAGCTCGCGCCTTACCAAAGATTCTGGGCCTCATACCCACTTGGAGTCTCAATCCCGCTTGCTGCCTTATGGGGGTGTCTCTGAGGCTGGATCTTTTACGCTGTGGGACAAGGCAAATGGAGTCTTGACATCCTACCCTAATAAAGGCAGTTAAGTTTCTGCTTGAACGGTAGCTCTGAGAGCTGGAAGCATAGAGATACGTGTTCGGAATCGAGGCAAGCAAGACGTGTTTAATGAGGCCAGCTCCCTGGCAGTTCTGTCAGGGCTAACCGCAGTGGAATCGGGGCCCCAGCAGGATCAGGAGGCGCCCGTATGGCTTCTCTTGTTCCAGGCGGAGGATCTGTTCCGCTGCAAGCACTGGTCAAGGGACGAGGACAGGGCCAGTCGGTGGGGAGGCCCTGCGGTGGCCTCTGGCCTGGGTCCTTGCCCCCCACCCGTGCGCACACGTGCCCACACTCACCCAGGAGCAGGTAGAAGACCCGGGCGGCCATCCGGCGGGGGCTGACGGGGGACACCAGGCTGCCAAAGTCGGGCTCCCTGTTGGCCTGCAGCTCCTGGGCCACTGCCCTGTGGGGGTCGGGCGCGGTCAGCCGGAGCCCCAGCCTGCGCCCACCCCGCTGCCGCGGCCCTCGCCTGGCACCTGCACACAGCCTCCGGCGACAGCAGCTCGGGCTCCGGGGGCAGCTCCAGGGGCAGCTCCGGGACCTCGGGCACCGCGGGCAGCGCAGGGGGCTCCAGCTGCTCGGCCTCGGCCCAGGCCCTGGGAGGATGCAGGAGTCAGGGCAAGCGGAAGGGGGCGGCTGCCCTAGTGCACCCGGGCTGGCGGCTTACCACCGTTCTTCCGGGGGGACGAGGCTGACGCGGGACTTCTCTTCCTCGGCCGCCTCGAGAGAGAGCTCTGTTGGGGGGAGGGGAAGGGCCCGAGTGCACCTGCTTAGATAGGAGCGGTCGGGACCTTGAGGTTCCCTCCCCCCCCCCCCCCCCCGCCCCCCCCCCACCCGGCAGCGCCCCCCCCCCACTGGGACCCAGGGAGGAGAACCGAAGAGATCCAGCTTCCTTATGTGAACTGCTTCCCCCTCTAGTAAAAACCAGCAGCAGTTAGGGTAGCCGGGCCCTGGGAGAGTGGCCACGGTGGGGGCCCTCTCCCTTCTCCAGGGGCCTACCTGCAGACAGCATGAGGGGCCCGCTGGGCTCCTGGGCCTCTCTTGGGACCTGGGGAAGGGAGAGTGAGAACTAAGGCCCCGAGCATCACAGAAGCACCTGGGGCAGGGTGACGCGGTCCCAGCCTGCCCTGGCCTGCGCTCGGGGACGGGACGTGGCCCCACAGGCTCAGGTGGGCAGCAGGCAGCCTGCCGGAGCTCAGGCAAAGCGGGCCAGCTCCCGAGGGAGGAGGAAGGGGGTGCAGTTACCTCGATATCGCTGAGAGTTTCCATTCTCCTTTCCTCCTCAGCTGCCACCTCCCTCTCAGCCTCCTCCTCAGGCTCCGGGGGTGGCCTTCGCCTGAGTGCTCCTGGGGGTGGCTGGGCACAGCGGGTCCACAGGGCCAGCAGTTCTGGGGGGAGCCAGCCAGCTGGGGAGGGAGGGGCGGCAGGGGTGGGGGTTGACGTGTGAGGAACACCGAGACGGAGGACTATGGGTTCAGAAGACCCCACACGCCAACTCCCACCACTCCTTACAGTGAGTTGGTATTCCGAATAGCTCCATGGGGCTCCTGGTGGTCCTTTCGGGAGGCTGCACCTTTGGCTGCAGGGGCGGGGGTGGGGGAGGCAGAAGCCCAGTTAAGAGGGAGGCACTCCTCCCTGCCCTTTCTCCTCCACTTCTTTGCAACACTTTGTTCCAAGGCCTCTGACCGTCCAACTCTCAGGTTCCTGCACCTGCCTGGCACCGCCCACTGCTACGTGGTGCCCAGCCATGTGCTATGTGGGGACACTAAAGGAACGTGGAGAGTTGTCTCTGTGCAAACCTGGAGCACGTGCACTCTGGGGATCGTTCCCGGTGCCTCCCCAGAGTTTAGAAGGCCCAGCATGCGCGGCCTTGGGCCCTCCCTGCCTCCCTCCGTGGCCCGCAGAGCCTGGGGCTGCACTCACACACTCCCAGCAGTGGGCTCTGGTTTGCAGTTGTTCCTGGAACTTCTCCCGGGAGATCTGAGTCTCCTTGTCCCAGAACACTAACTGGCGGCGGCGGCGGCGAGCAGGTGGACTCCGGGGAAAGGGGGGCACCGGGGGCCGCAGCCTCTGATTGGGGAGGGGAGGCGGGGGCGAGACTACCCATTACTCCTTTTCCTGTCACCTTGGTAGGCTGCGAAGCAGGCCCTGCATCCCCACTCCAGAGGCACCCCGGGAAAGAGCTTGGGCAGGGCCTCCAGGGGCAGCTCTGACCTCACGTGGTGGGGTGGGGGAGGGCCCATCCGGGGAGCGCAGGCTGGATAAAATGGAGGGTGGGCAGGGGGCACCTTCTACCAATTTGTGCCAAGGCCTGGGGAAGGCTAGCAGTGGCCCATGGCTGGGGGAAGCTGAAGACGGATGAGCAGCTCTGGGAGAGGAGGGCAAAGGGGAGGAGAAAGCTTGGCAGGGCCATGACTCACCTCTGGGCTGAGCGGGGCCGGCAGGCGCAGCTCCGGCGGGGGGGTCACCTCTGCAACAACACTCTAGGTCCCGGCTCTGCCACAGCCCGCCCCCCTTCGCCCTGGCAGCCACCCACGCAAGAAGCTAGAAGGCCTCCCTGCTGCAAGTTGGAATACGGGGCCCTTGACTGCAGTAGCTGTGCACCTGTGTGGCCCCAGGAAGGCCCCAGGCACGATGGGCACTCACCAGCAAGCAGGGCCTCGGGCTCCCAGCCTACTGGCTTCACCTCCTCGGGGGCCGGGACCGGAAGTGGCTCTGCGGCCTCTTCCACCCTGAGGGGAAAACGGGCAAGAGAAATGAGGCCACCCCTCGCAGCACTGGCTGCCTACCCGGCCCAGGGGGTCCTGCCCTTACGGTGCAAGAGCTGGTGGTGAGAGCGGGGGTACAGCTCTCTCCCTCTCCAGAGCCCGGGGCTCCTCCTTGGCCTCTGCAGAGAGAAGATCGGAGCTCAGAGTGCAGGAGAAAGGAGACGGGGGCACTGCCCAGGCGCAGCCTGCCCGTGCCAGGGCGCTGACCACCCGGCACCGGCTGAGGCTTGCCTCGCCGTTCCTCTAACAGGATAGCTTCGTCTTCCTCAGCAATCAGCAGGTCCAGGTCTCGGCGGCTGACCTCTGGGAGGTCCCGTTCACCCTGGCAAGAGAGGAGGAGTAAGGAGAGGGGACGCAATTCCAGTTCTGAAAAAGGCAAGGGGCTCTGGGAGGCCGGGTCGGAGAGGCAGGCGGCAGGAGGCCCGCGGGGCGCGCAGGCGCCAGGCGCAGGGAGTGCTGCAACGAGACAAGAAGGCAGGACTCTGGGCGCGGGAGCGCGAGGCGGGCTGGGCGGCCCGGGGCAGGACTCGGGCCTCAGGCTCTCCTGCGAGCGGACAGCTCACCTCGATGGGCAGCATGCGGATGGGCTCCGCCTCCTGGAGGGTGATGGCCTCTGGAGACAGCACAGTGACCGGGACCCTGTCTGGAGGGGCAGGAGAGTCACACCAGCCCCTCTGCTGCTTCCCAGCTTCCCACACCCACGCGGTGAGGCGAAAGCACGGACTCTGGAATCAAGTCAACCTGCATTCTGGTCAGGCCCCGGCCGGCCACAGGCAAGCTGACCCTGGCCAGGTTGCTTAACCACGACGGGCCTCACTTTCCTCCTCTGGAGAATGGGGATAAGAATTCTGATCTCACAGGACTCCTGTGAGGCAGAGAGGAGGTGACACAAATAAAGTGCCCCCTCACAAAGGGCCTGGCTCTTAAGAGAAGCTCAAAGATGGTCATTCCTTCAAGTTCTTGGGCCTTCCTAGGCCTCTTCCGGGGAAGAGGCTCTCTGCTCACCAGGCTTCTTAGGCTCCATGGGGACTTCAGGAGGCGCCTCCTCAAGCTCTCTCTCCGGGCTTACAGCCTCTAGGAGCTGTCGAACCTTTGGGGAGGATTGGGGACAAAAGGAAGGGTTCATCCTCAGCCCCTGTTTTCCCACTTCCACCACCTTATTCAGACAACAGACGAAAATACTCCTTCACACCGCGGCCTTGTGACACCAGCACGCGGTGAACTCACTCGCCATCTGCTCTCCCTTCCAGCCGTCCCTGCCCCCATTATCTAGACCTTGTCCATTTTTCTGTGCAGGAAGCACTGCACCCTTATGTCAAGTGTTGTGGGGGCCAGAAAAGATTCTTGATCTTAGGGAGCCTATGGTCTAACAGGAAGACCAGTGTGAACAGGACCCCAGCAAGAGGCAACATAAAGTGTGAAACAAGGCCCTAGCAACGTGCTCAGTTCCAGAGCAACATTTGCTTCTGGCCCAGGAGAGAGCCTCTCAGAAAGGAGTAACATTTGAGCCAGGTCTGCTAAGGGTATGTAGGACTTAACTAGTACAGAACGAGGGTGGCCATTACGGGGCATGGAGGGCTGTGTGCAGTGGGGGACCGGGGGGGTCTCTGAAAGAAGCAGCAGCACCGTCTAAAGCTGGGGACGTGTCAGGACGTGGATAGAGGAGGACGTGCGCAGAGAAACCTAAGGCTAAGGGATGACAAGGGCCTGGCTTAGAGCCGTGGCAGTGGGAACTGTGTGGAGAGAAGTTGGGACAAGAGCTGCCTCGAGGTTGGCCTTGAACAGACAAGTGGAATGGCTCTGTCCGGAGGGGTCCACCATGACAGTTCCCCAGCACAGACTCCTGCAGGGGAGAGCCGTGACTGGCCCCCTTCCCTAGCCCCAGTGTCAGACCCGCACAGACACAGCATTCCCCTCCTGTGCTCTCAGCTCGTCAGCCAGAGGCTTCTGTGGGGAATGAGCCCTACCTGAGGGATACTGAAGGGGCTGGGAAGTGCGGGATCCACAGACATCATCCCAAAAAAGGGGTCTGGAGCATCTTCCAGGGTCTCCATCATGGCCAGGCGGTTAGGGAGCAGCAGGCTGGGTCTGAGACAGAGAATGTGGGCTGTCAAGTACCGAGGCAGAGGGCTGACGCCAAGCAGGGAGGATGCCCAGCGAAGGCTGAGTGGCCCAGGCCCAGGCCCAGGGTGGGCACTCACAGGTCAGTCTCCACCATATCAATGCGGATCTGCAGCTGGGCGCGGTGCAGGCGCTCCAGGATGTGCTGGATGTCCTCTGCGGGCAGGGCGGGCAGGGAGGGCAAGGTCCTGAGCATGCCTCCCCTCGCCGCGGCCCACATGGCTCTGCCCCATCTCTGAGCCTTCCCCACCTTACCTACGAGGTACTGGCATTGTTGCGAGTAGACCCGGATCACGCCGATCTGCAGCTGGGCTGACAGATAGAGGGAGAAGCGGGGCCGAGGCAGGCCAGGCATCGGGGGCTGAACTCGGACCAGCACATAATCGAGGATCTCCTCACTGGGCGGGGGGACAACGTGCCCTGATCACCACCGCGCCAAGGCCCAGCTCCACAGCCTGGCCCACCCCATCCAGCACCGCCCCCCCCCACCCCGCCCCCTGCCCGCTCAGGTCCGGCCGCTCCACCCCTTCCCGGCCTTACCAGGTCTTCACCACGTTCACCTTCAGGTACTCCCGTTTCACCAACCGGCTGCCGCGGGTCGCTGCCAGCCTGGAGGGGGTGGGGGTGGGGGGCGTCAGGCTGGGGCCCCTGGGTGCCCCTCCCGGCGCGCACTGCCCGGCCCTTACCAGATGGTGGCGAAGCAGCCGGTGTGGCGCTGAAGCACGTTGGGATAGTAGAACATCGTCCCGCCGGGCTTTCACCCTCGTCCCCGTCGGGGCAAAGGGCTCGGAGAGGCGGCACCGGGGCTGGGGGCGGCCCCAGAACGCCAGGTAAAGGAACGGATAAACACTCAGGTGTGGGTAAACAATTAGGGCGAGAAGTAACCGGAGGCGCGGACTGCACACACAGCAGTTGGGTCGCCCCTCTCCGCCGCCCGGAGTGGGTTCCCACGCCGCGTGGCTGCTTCGAACTTACTGGGGCCTTCCGGGTCGGGTTCCAAGTTGGAGGGGCAGAGCTCTCCGAGGGCAGGCCCGGCCTGGGCTCCAGGTCAGGTCCCGCGGGGAGAGAGCGGGGGGGCGGGGGGAGGCTGGATGGGGTGGGCGGAGGGGTTGTCCTCCGCAGGGACACCGGGCTCCCAGGCCTTGCGCGCGGCTTGGGCACCTGCGGTCCCCGCGGCACCAGACCCCGCCGCAGGGGGCGCGCGCTCCGGGGCTGGGCGCCTCCCTCGTCATTAGATGGCGGCGGCACCCACAACAGCCAATGGGGAACAGGGCTGGGCTTGGGAGCGCTCCGTTCCGGGGCGCCAACTACCCCGCCTTGGGTCTCGGCAACAGGAGTCTCCCGAGGCAGGCAGCGAACCAATCAGAAGAAGCCCGCGTGCTGCGGGGGCCATTGTGAGGTGTCCTGACCAATGGGCTCTCGTTCTCGCCTCTGGTAACAAGGGTTCCTCGGTGGCACTTCTCTGCCGACCAATGAGCGAGGAGCCAGTCCCAGCCTCGCCCCCAGCAAGCTTGGCAACAAGGGCATTTCGACCACGAGAGAAGGTCGGGTCATGGCGGGGCCAACTACCCTGTCCGTTTCCCGGCGCCTGACCTGAGGTTAGACCTTGCCCTTTCCCCTGAAACCCACCAAGTACCAAAGATTGGTCTGCCTCGGTGCCCCGCCTTGGGCCCGTCGTCAGCTGGGCAGGTGGAGACCGTGTGAGGTGGCCTGGGGGCCGCCGCAGATGGATGAGGAAGAAGTCAGATCTCACAGGAAACATGCTCAGTCATTTCCTCAACTTGAACAACTTAGGCTGTGGGCTGTTTTCCAGTTGTGAATGTTCTCCCAGCTGAAAGAGACCTCAGCTTTGTGGGATGCAAGGCATACTTGTCCGCATACAAAAGCCATTTGGCCCAAACAATTCTTTGTCCCCAAGCCTTCTGCCTTGGTACAGCCCCACATTTGGCCTAGAATGCCCTTCCCAGCCTTGACCCCAGGGCATGCTTCTGCCCCTTTAACACAGCTCTTACTGCAACTGAGCTGACCCTATTTTATTTTATTCCTTCAGTCTACTAGCTCTTAAGATCTCTTTTTTTTTTCTTTTTCAACTAGTTCCTGGAAACTAGCACACTAAACATTTCTCAAATGAATATGCAATGATGCCAGATTTACCACCACAGTCAAGGCTGACAGAGATTCCAAACCTAGTCCTTGTGAGCTTTACAGGGGTGGCTTTTACGGATGAGAAAACAGAGAGGCCCATGGGACAGTTTTTCCCAGACCACAAAGCTCCCTAATGACAGCCTGGTTGGGAACTCTGCTCTCTCTCTCTTTTTTTTTTTTTTTTTAAGATTTTATTTTATTTATTCATAAGAGACAGAGAGAGAGAGAGAGAGGCAGAGGAAGAAGCAGGTTCCCCGCTGAGCAGAGAGCCCAATGCGGGACTCGATCTCAGGAACCCCGGGATCATGACCTGAGCGGAAGGCAGACACTCAATCATCTGAGCCACCCAGGCGCCCAGAACTCTGCTCTCTTGAATTCTAGTGTTTCTAGTACCTATTCCACTGTGCTTGGCTAAATGAGTTTCTACATAATACAAACTGTTTCAATCACTGTACATATGTTGTCACTGTTTATAAGTTCATATTGGGGCACAAAGATCATAAAGTGGGGGCATATACCATTAAGGTACTTAGAACCTAGGGTAGGAGATAATAATTTGTTCATCCATCCCTCTGTTCAACAAGTATTTATGACATGCCTGCTATGTGCCATGCACTCCTCTAGGCACTGGAGATGGAGCAATGAACAAAACAAGTCCCTGTTCTCATGGAGTAGGGAAGGAGAGACGATAAGTAAGTAGACAAATAGAAATATGTAGGGCGCCTGGGTGGCTCAGTCATTAAGCGGCTGCCTTCGGCTCAGGTCATGATCCCAGAGTCCTGGGATCGAGCCCCGCATCGGGCTCCCTGCTCGGCGGGGAGCCTGCTTCTCCCTCTCCCACTCCCCCTGCTTGTGTTCCCTCTCTCGCTGTCTCTCTCTCTGTCAAATAAATAAATAAAATCTTCAAAAAAAAAAATGTTAAGCGGTGATCAGTGCTAGGAGAACAATGAGGCAGCATAGGAGAATGGAGAGTAGTGAGGGCTGCTATCTAGGTACGGTACTCAGGGAAGTCTTCTCTGAAGAGAGGAGGCAAAACGCACCTACCTGAAGGAAGAATATTTTACAAAAAAGAACCAGCAAGTACAAAGGTCCTGAGGCAGAAATGTGGTGGGTTCAAGGAGCCTGGAGCAAGAATGGTAAGGGGTGAGGTTAGAGAGGAGGATAAGAGCCACATCACAAAGACTGTGGAGGTCACTGTAAGGATTTGGGCTTTTACTCTGCATGAGTCAAGAGCCCAACGGAGGGTTTTGAGCAGAGGAATGACATAGTAAGATTTATGTGTTAAGAGGATCTTTACTGTGTTCAGAATAGATAGAAGGTGGACAATAGTGGAGGTAGAAAAGATGTAGAAGGAAGCAGAAACAGATGTGAGAGATGACAGTAGGTTGTTCCAAAGTGTTAGTGGTGGAAGCAGAGAAAACTGGTCAGATTCTGGATAGATTCTGAAGGAATAATGATGGGATCTACTGATCGATGGGATATGGGATATGACAGAAAATGGAAGCAGACACTATATAATCATAAATGGAACAATCCACAAGAAGATAAAACAATTGTAAATATTTATGCACCCAACATGGGAGCACCCAAATACATAAAGCAGTTAATAACAAACATGAAGGAAGTAATAAATAGTAATACAATAATAGTAGGGGACTTTAACCCTCATATCAATGGACAGATCATCTAAACAGAAAGTCAGTAAGGAGACAGTGGCTTTGAATGACACATTGGACCAGATGGATTTAACAGATATATTCAGAATATGCCATCCTGAAACAGCAGAATACACATTCTTTCCAAGTGCACATGGAACATTCTCCAAAATAGATTACATATTAGGCCACAAAACAAGTCTCAACAAATTCAAAAGCATCGAAGCATCTTTTCTAACCACAACACTATGAAATGAGAAATCAACCATAAGAAAAAATCTGGAAAGATCACAAATATATGGAGATTAAATAACATGCTACTAATCGACGAATGGGTCAACCAAGAAATCAAAAAGGATATCAAAAAATACACGCAGACACATGAAAATTAAAACACAATGGTCCAGGGCGCCTGCGTGGCTCAGCTGGTTAAGCGACTGCCTTTGGCTCAGGTCATGATCCTGGAGTCCCAGGATCCGAGTCCCACATCGGGCTCCCTGCTCAGCAGGGAGTCTGCTTCTCCCTCTGACCCTACCCCCTCTTGGACTCTCTCTCTCTCACTCTCTCTCTCAAATAAATAAAATCTTAAAAAAAAACACACACACACAAAACCCACAATAGTCCAGGGACGCCTGGGTGGCTCAGTCGGTTAAGCGTCTGCCTTCGGCTCAGGTCGTGATCCCAGGGTCCTGAGATCGAGTCCCGAATTGGGCTCCTTGCTCAGTGGGAAGCCTGCTTCGCCCTCTGCCTCCCTCTCCCTCTGCTTGCCACTCCCCCTGCTTATGCTTGCTCTTTCTCTCACAAACAGATAAATAAAATATTAAAAAAAAAAAAACAAAACAAAGAAACCCACAAAAGTCTAAAATTGTTGGGATGCAGCAAAAGCTGTTCTAAGAGGGAGACCGATAGCAATACAGGCCTACTTCAAGAAGCAAGAAAAATCTCAAATAAACCTTACACCTAAAGCTAGAGCTAGAAAAAGAACAAAACCCAAAACTAATAGAAGGAAAGGAGAAAGGAAATAAAGATTAGAGCAGAAATAAATGAAATAGAAAATAAAATTAAATTTTAAAAAAAAGGATAGATCATGGGCGCCTGGGTGGCTCAGTTGGTTAAGCGACTGCCTTCAGCTCAGGTCATGATCCTGGAGTCCCGGGATCGAGTCCCACATCGGGCTCCCTGCTCAGCAGGGAGTCTGCTTCTCCCTCTGACCCTCTTTCCTCTCGTGCTCTCTATCTCTCATTCTCTCTCTCTCAAATAAATAAATAAATAAAATCTTTAAAAAATAAATAAATAACAATAAAAAATAAAAAAAGGATAGATCAATGAAACTAGGAGCTGGTTCTTTGAAAAGATCAACAAAATTGATAAATCTTTAGCTAGACTCATAAGAAAAAAAAGGAATCAAGTAAGATCAGAAATGAAAGAGGAGAAATAACACCACAGAAATACAAAAGATTATCAAAGAATATTATGGAGAATTATATGCCAACAAACTGGACAACCTAGAAGAAATGGGTAAATTCCTGGAAACATAACTGAATCAGAGAGAAATAGAAAATCTGAACACACTGATTAGCAGCAACGGAATTGAATCCGTGATCAAAAAACTCCCAACAAAAGTCCAGGAGTGGATGGCTTCACAGGGGAATTCTACCAAACATTTAAAAAGGAGTTAGGGGTGCCTGGGTGGCTCAGTCATTAAGCGGCTGCCTTCGGCTCAGGTCATGATCCCAGGGTCCTGGGATCAAGCCCCGCATCAGGCTCCCTGCTCCGTGGGAAGCCTGCTTCTCCCTCTCCCACACCCCCTGCTTGTGTTTCCCCTCTCGTCTTTTTTTTTTTTTAAGATTTTATTTATTTATTTGAGAGAGAGAGAGAGAGAGCACATGAGAGGAGGAGGGTCAGAAAGAGAAGCAGACTCCCTGCTGAGCAGGGAGCCTGATGCGGGACTCGATCCCGGACTTCAGGATCATGACCTGAGCCGAAGGCAGTTGCCCAACCAACTGAGCCACCCAGGCGCCCTCGCTGTGTCTTTCTCTATCAAATAAATAAATAAAATCTTAAAAAAAAAAAGAGTTAATATCTATTCTTTTCAAACTATTCCAAAAAAAAGGGGTGCCTGGGTGGCTCAGTTGGTTAAGCATCTGCCTTTGGATCAGGTCATGATCCCAGAGTCCTGGGACGGAGCCCCATGTTGGGCTCCCTGCATAGTGGGGAGCCTGCTTCTCCCTCTCCCACTCCCCCTGCTTGTTCTCTCTGTCAAATAAGTAAATAAAATCTTAAAAAAAAAAAATAGAAGAGGAAGGAATGCTTCCAAATTCATTGTATGAGGCCAGCACTGCCCTGATACCAAAACCAGACAAAGACACCACAAAAAAAGAAAACTATAAGCCAGTAGTTCTGATAAACAGAGATGCAAAAGTCTTCAACAAAATATTAGCAAACCGAATCCAACAATACACTAAAAAAATCATTCATCACGTTCAAGTGGGATTTACTCCTGGGTTGCAAGGGTGGTTCAATATTTGCAAATCAATCACGATATGTCATATCAATAAGAGAAAGGATAAAAAACATACGATCGTTTCAATAAATGCAGAAAAAAAATTTGACAAAGTACAACATTCATTCATGATAAAAACCCTCAACAACGTAGGTTTAGAGGGAACATACCTCAACATTATAAAGGCCATATATGAAAAACCCACAGCTAACAGCATTCTCAATGGGGAAAAACTGAAAGCTTTTTCCCTAAGGTCAGGAACAAGGTAAGGATGTCCACTCTCACCACTTTTATTCAACATAGTACTAGAAGTATTAGCCACAGCAATCAGACAAGAAAATGGAATAAAAGGCATCCAAACTGGTAAGGAAGAAGTAAAAGTTTCACTATTTGCAAATGACACGATACTATATATAGAAAACCCTAAAAACTCCACCAAGAAACTACTAGAACTCGGCGCCTGGGTGGCTCAGTTGGTTAAGCGACTGCCTTCGGCTCAGGTCATGATCCTGGGGTCCCGGGATCGAGTCCCGCATCGGGCTCCCTGCTCAGCGGGGAGTCTGCTTCTCCCTCTGACCCTCTTCCCTCTCGTGCTCTCTCTCATTCTCTCTCTCTCTCTCTCAAATAAATAAATAAAATCTTTAAAAAAAAAAAAAAGAAACTACTAGAACTGATCAATGAATTCAATAAGGTCACAGGATACAAAATTAATGTACAGAAATCCATTGCATTTCTATACACTAATAATGAAGCAGCAGAAAGAGAAATTAAGAAAACAATCCCATTTACAATTGTACCCAAAATAATAAAATACCTAAGAATAAACCTAATCAAAGAGGTAAAAGATCTGTGCTCTAAAAACTATAAAACACTGATGAAAGAAATTGAATATGACACAAAGAAATGGAAAGACATTCCATGCTCATGAATTGGACGAACAAATATTGTTAAAACTTCTATACTACCCAAAGCAATCTGCAGATTTAATGCAATCCCTATCAAAATAGTAACAGTATTTTTCAAAGAACTAGAACAAACAATCCTAAAATTTGTATGCAACCACAAAAAAACCTTGAATAGCCAAAGCAATTCTGAGAAAGAAAAGCAAAGCTGGAGGCATTGTAATTCCAGACTTCAAGTCATAGCTGTAGTAATCAAAACTGTATAGTACTGGCATAAAAAGAGACACATAGAGGGGTGCCTGGGTGGTGTGTCAGTTGAGCGTCTGACTCTTGGTTTTGGCTCAGGTCATGATCTCAGGGTCCTGGGATTAAGCCCCGCATCCGGCTCTGTGCTCAGTGCAGGGTCTGCTTGAGAGTCTCTCTCCCTCTCCCTCTGCCCCTCCCACTTGTGCTCACGCTCCCTCTAAAATGAATAAATAAATATTTACAAAATAAACACTGATCAATGGAACAGAACAGAGAGCCGAGAATTAAACGCACAACTATATGGTCAATGAATCTTCAATAAAGGCTGCAAGAATTGTGCAATGGGAAAGAGACAGTCTCTTCAACAAATGGTGGTGGGAAAACTGGACAGCAACATGCAAAAGAATGCATCTGGACCACTTTCTTACACCATACATAAAAATAAACTGAATGCAGATTAAGGACCTAAAAGTGAGACTTAAAACCATAAAAATCAGGGTGCCTGGGTGGCTCAGTTGTTAGGCGTCTGCCTTCGGCTTGGGTCATGTTCCCGTGGTATTGGAATTGAGCCCCACATCGGGCTCCCTGCTTAGCGGGAAGCCTGCTTCTCCCTCTACCACTCCCTGTGCTTGTGTTCCCTCTCTTGCTGTGTCTCTCTCTGTCAAATCAATAAATAAAATCTTTTAAAAAAAAACAAAAATCTTAGAAGAGAGCACAGGTGGTAATTTCTCTAATATCAGCTGTACCATTTTTCTAGATATGTCTCCTGAGGCAAGGGAAACAAACGCAAAAATAAGCTATTGGGACTACCTCAAAATAAAAAGCTTCTGCACAGCGAAGGAGACCATCAACAAAACTAAAAGGCAACCTTCTGAATGGGAGAAGATAAGCAAATGATAAATCTCATAAAGGGTTAGTATTCAAAAAATATAAAGAACTTATACAACTCAACACCAAAAAAACAAATAGTCCAATTAAAAAATTGACAGAAGACATGAACAGACATTTCTCCGAAGAAAGCATAAAGACGGCAGCCAACAGACACATGAAGAGATGCTCAACATCACTCATCCTCAGGGAAATGCAAATCAAAACCACAATGAGTTATCACCTCACACCTCTCAGAATGGCTAAAATCAAAAATACAAGAAACAACAGGTACCAGAGAGGATGTGGAGAAAAAGGAACCCTGTGCACTGTGGGTGGGAATGCAAACTGGTGCAGCCACTGTGGACAACAGTATGGTAGTTCCTTAATAAATTAAAAATAAAACTGGGGCACCTGGGTGGCTCAGTCAAGTGTCTGCCTTCGGCTCAGGTCATGATTCCAGGGTCCTGGGATCGAGTCCCGCATCGGGCTCCCTGCTCAGTGGGGAGTCTGCTTCTCCCTCTACCCCTCCCCCCTGCTTGTGTTCCCTCTCTCTCTCAAACAAAATCTTTAAAAAAATAATAAAAATAAAAATAGAACTACTATATGATTCAGTAATTCTACTACGTGGTATTTACCCAAAGAATATGAAAGCACTAAATCAAAAGGATACATGCACCCCTATGTTTATAGCAGCATTATCTACAATAGCCAAACTATGGATAGGTATCCATCGATAAATAAATGGATAAAGAATTGTACGCGTGTTAACTATACTGTATGTTAACTATACTGTATGTTAACTATCCTGGAATTAAAATTAAAAAGAAAGGAAAAGAAAGAAGATGGAAGTCAAGGAGGAAGCAAGTGCGAACAAGGGCCAGGAGGGATTTTAGCAAATCAAGGGCACAACAGAGTTCATGTGCCCGTGCACTCAGTACCTGCTTTCTTCCCTGATAATGCAGATGCCTGTTTGGGCTCTTGGCTGCTCAGGAGGATGATGGGGCAAGACTGAAGAGAAGGAAGGTCCAAGGAGGCAGAAAGGCTCGAAGGCAGCACTGAAGTTTGTCGAATGCGACAGTAAGAAGATCCTTGAGGATCTAGGTGTGTTGGTTTTGATCACGTAGATGAACCAGGGGAGGCTTATAAGAGCGACGTGACGGGGAAGAGCTTGGTCTGGGAGGCCCCTCTCCTCCAAGCTGGCGTCCCCTGCAGGAAGGGGGAAGCTGGAGGCTGCGGCATCAGCTAAGTGGTGACTTAGGTCTGAACTGGTCCGCTGGACGTGAGTGGAGAAGTAAAATGACAAGTGGCCTGTGAAGGGAGAACTTTCAGTTTGGTGGCAAAATAAACACAGGGGGTAAGGGAGAGGAGTGTCATCTGATTTGGAGCCCTCAAATCTCAGCCAACAGTGTTGGTGACATGGTGGTCTATGCCAGATGGTCTTTTGTGAGGCTTAAGTAGAGCGAGGAAATCAGGCTGGGAGTCCCCTTCTGTTGGGGTGGCAGTGCCCCATGTGCTGGGAGAAGAGGCACCAGGGCCTGGCCTCCCTCAGCATAGGAGGCTCAGCAGCTCTTCCCTCTGGCCCCCCCCGCTCCCTTCCCAGGCCCCAGTGCCTCTAGCCCATAGTTTGAGGGCAACTTCAAGTTCTCCTGTTCATTTAGACCCCCAGCCCAGAGTCCAACCCTAAGACTGTTGTAAGGCCCGAATCAGAGGCCTCTAGCCAAGAACAGCGGAGCCCAGATTTTTCCAGGTGAAGTTGGTGGCAACAGCAGCTGTGGGTTGTGCTCTTCTTGGTGGCTAACCTCGATCCTCTCCCCAGGCCCAGAACCCACAGAGCCCAGACAGCTTCCTAGCCAGAACCTGCAGGTGGAGGAGAGGAAAGGGGCCCAGAGAGGTCAGCAGGAAGAAAACCCAAGTACTTCACTCTCAAATTACATCTTTAGCACTTCCCTGTGACCCCTGCTACCTTTTCAACCCAACAAAGCAGATACTGACTCCTCTTTCAATAAAGTTTTATTTTTAAATCCCTAGTGAACATCTAAGAAGAAAATATAAAGTGCTTGGCTTTAGGGGTGGGGGAAGAGGAAAGATCCCCTGAGTTCACACCATTTGGACTTTCCCAGGTCAGTTCCTCAGAGATGAAAGAAGGCATATCTCAAAAAACAAACAAACAAAAAAAGGTGGTGGGTGGATAAAAATCACCCTTGAGTTCTCTGCCAGCCAGGTACATCGGCAGTTCAAGGACGTAACCATCAGAGACAACCACTGAGAATTATCACCGAGGGAAGCAGGTCAACAGTGTGGAGAATGAGTCTCTTTCAAAGGAGATAGGAGGAAAGGAGAGGAGAGGAGGAAGATGGGTCCCCCAGGCTCTGCAGCAGGGACAGAGTGGCTGCCTGCTCCTCTGGAGTCTCCTCCAATAAATGTCGGGCAAAGGCCTGCTCCATCTGTGCCAGAAAAGGTGGGGAAGAGATGATCAGGAGCACAGCTGGGGCAGACACCACCCCCTAGGAGTTCCTTTCCCCCCGGAGGCCCCTTCTCCTCCTGGAACCCACGCCCACCCCCACCCCACCCACACAGGGAGGCTGATCTTCCCCCACCCTGAACTCACCTGCACTGTGATAAGACTCTTTGGGGTATGGTTGGGGCCGGGGCTCTCCTCCCAGAAATTCAGTGTCACCTGGAACTTGGGTGGGGGACCCAGGCCCTGGAAGTACCTGGCCAAGTCTGATGAAAGAGAAAGGGTCAAGGGTTGGAAGAAAGAAAAGAGAAGAGAGAGGTCACAGGGAGGGTGGGAACAGAGAGGGGCCCATCCTGGACAAAGAGGGGTGACTGTGGGGCCAACTGGAGACCAGAGCCAGAACAGGAGCTGAGGGTCACGAGGCTGTTGCCTCACGTCAGGAGAAATGCCAGTAACTCTGCTGCTTCTCACCCGTGTGCCAGTAGGAAAGGGTGCCCCTTCTCTGAGTAAGAAGTGTTTTAAGGTAACTGATTTTTATACAACCTGCAAAGCTCTCTGCTGGAAGAGACTGGAGTCCTCATGGCAGCAGCCTGGGCTGCTAACACAGAGGTGCCCCCCACCCCCTGTTGCCTGCTCGTACCCTCCCTACCAAGGGCACCCATGGCCCCGGCACGTTCCTACCCTGCATCCCCTATACTCCTGGCCCCAAACTCCTAAGGTCAGATTTAGAGGTGAATGGAGGCAGGAAGCGGAATTGGAGGAGTGGACGGGAGAAGGGCAATCAGGGGAGCTGCCTGGTGTGGGTAATGTGCACCAGCAATCCCAAATACGTGGATGGCGTGCGTGTAAGTGTAGATGCTGGGGAGGCCCCGGGGGCGCACCTTCCCATTACCGTCTGCTGCCACATGGGGGCAGTCCCTGAGATGGGACTCGTGTGCTGAGCTCCACCTGAGCCTCATCTTCTGAGGCCTGGGCCGGGGAAGGGCGGCTGCCAGGCAGCTGTGGGGCTGAGCACAGGGCCCCACAGGCTGTGCACTGAGCACATGAGCTGTAAGGAAGGATCTACTGGAGGGAACAGGGTGGTGGCAGAGCCTAGCAGGTCCCGGGGTGACTAAGAGGCGGGGGCGTGGGGTCCGCTCAGCTGGAACAGCCTCACCTCTGCAGAAGTAGTTGGTTCTGAAGAGCTCCACGCACTCATTGCTGGGCAGCAGATGCGGGCCTGGACCGGGTGGTGCCTGGGGCGCGTTCCAGGAGACGGGGATGGGGCAGAGGCGCTGCACGAAGAGGCCCCGGGAGTTGCTGGCTACCAGGACGCCCCTCTCGATCTGGCTTAGCAGGCGTTGGGTGGGCTCTCGTGGGTCAGGCTTGGGAAAGACCACCTGCTCCATGCCGCACTGGGAGCCTGAGGGCTCGGCCACGAGGCGGCAGTCCAGGCTCTGCACCTGCGCTTCACCCACCACGCGCCCGCCGTAGATGAAGGTGAGCAGCAGCGAGTAGTCTGCGGACAGAGAACCACCAGCTGCACCTGGACTTCACCTGACGGGTCCGCCTGGTCAGCGCCAGGGCCTGAGGAAATGAGGAGGGGCTCCTTGCAAATCCCACATCCTCATTTTGCTGGTGAGAAACAGGAGGTCCAAGAGGGAAACCAAGCGAGGGCGGGGGCAGCGGCTTCACCTCCTGAGGTTAGAGAAGGCACCTCCCTCCTCATCCGCCCTCTGGCCACCCTCACCAGCCAACGGGCTTCCTGCCAGACTTTCCCATCACTCAGGAGAGGAGCTGATACACAAATGCCCCCCGAGGCCTCAGTGCTTATTGCCCAGGGTCTTACAGTTTATAAGAAGGTCCCAGAGACGGGTCTCTGCTTGACCCACAGGAATTAATGTCTCAAAGTGGATTTCCAAGGAATAGAGCGCATAGGGGGTATTTTTGAGAATTGAGCTGTTTGGAGTCTGGGAGTCTGGAGTCTGGCCAGGTATACTGCCAAGAAACCGGTGCCTCTGCCTGGGTAAGGTGGGCCCAGTTTGCTGCAAGCCCTGACAGATCCGATAACGTGTGCATGACGACAGGGAGACAAGCTAGGGGGACAGGGAGCAGGGTGAGTCAGAAATGCCACACACCTGAGTCTGGAGGGGGCAGAAACTCCAGTGACACCTGATCTCCTTGGAAAGGGGCTTCAGTTGTGTCTGTACCTACAGGGGAAGCAGAGGCGTACAGTTCAGAATGGGAATGGGGAACCCAAGGGCCAGAGGCTGTGGCATGGGGGTAACGAACAGAGGCAGGGCAGGTGGTACCTTCCTGAGGCTCGGGGCTGCTGCTGCTGCCGCTGCTGCTCCCAAAGTTCGAATGGCCTGCTCCCCCATTGGCCCCCACCTCCTCCTGCAGACACAGTGACTATCGTTGGCCCACCTCTCCCCTAGTGACTGTCCTGCCCTTGGGCCCCCCACCCCCAGTCCCTGCCCAGCTCTCACATTTCTGAGGGGATTCTTAACCAAGGAGGGGCTGAGCTTGCCATTCTTTGTGGTACCCTCCTCCTCCTCCTTCTCAGAGGACACAGAACTGTGGTGTCGCTTTGATGGTGATTTCTGGGTCCCCGGCTGGGCTGTGGAATATTGTGGAGGGGGAGAAAGGTCAGAGCCTCAACTGGGGACAGAGGGTAGGACAGGGGGCAGTGAAAGGACGGGCGGGACCAGGCAGGGGAACCTGGGCAGCAGCTCCCCAAGGACAGGGACAGGGACAGGGCAGAACTCTGAATGAGGAACCTGGGGAGAGGCCCAGCAGCCACCCAGAAGGCTCTCATCTCCATCCTCCCCCCGTCCCCAGTGTGCCGCGTCTAGGAGGGGCTGGGCAAGGGGACACCCACCGGGGAGGGTTCCTGACGGCGGCAGCAGCCGATACACCTTGTAGGGCTCAGCTCCATCCCTATGGGCATTCTCAGGAACCTCCTCAAATTCGGGACTCTTGTTGAAGGCACAGCGCAGACGAGTCTTCCAGATAGCCGGGCCTTCCGTGTCCCCTTCCTTGAACTTCCCCTTAAATATCGCCCAGGCCTTCAAAACACAGGCAGTAAAGCAGAGGCAGCATGTCACACACCCCGGCCAGCTTCGGCGGCCCACCACCTGAGCGCGAGCACAGAAGGCCCAGCGCTCGGGTTTATGCTCTGCTACCGCTGCCTCGAAATCCTTTACAGTTTTTGCACTTTCACTTTGTATCGGGCTGTGTCCAAAATACAGCTGGTTCTACCCTCCCATCCCCCCTTTCTCTGAAACCCAGGTCGACACAACCCCTGGAGGGTGAGAGCTTCAGTGTCTATGCCACCCTTCCCTCGGAGGGGCTGCTTTCCCGGCTCTTTCACCTTGAAGAAGGCGGCATCCTGGTCCTCCCGGAAGTCCTGCTTGCCCGCGTGCTTCCAGGGGATCCGGAACATGGTCTTGGCTGCATCGTCCCAGCACACCCCAGGGAACTGCCCGCTCTCCACTTGCTCCACCACCCAGTTCCGCAGCTTTCGGGTGCAGCGTGCCCTGCCTGATGCCATCCTGGGGACAAGAGTCGCAGGTAGCATCAGTGAAATTGACACCGTGGGAGGGAACATCTGCCCCCTGGGTTTGGATCCCGGCAAGGGCCCCCACTGATCCCATCCATCTTTTGCCTGTAGACATTTCTCAAAATTCTGGGGCCAAATTGTGTCGCTTCTCCCTTTATTAGCAATGACAAAGAAATACATCCCTTTTAACATCCCAAGCTGTGACATCTGGAAGGAGACCTTAGACCTTGGTCTTAGTTTTAAGACTTTTCAGGAATCTGCTGTCTAGCAGAGAACTCCCTTGGTGTGGCTCGTGGGGAGAGGCCCGGTCTCCACCCCAAGCATTTGCAGAGGTAGTATCAGCTTCTGAGATGCCCCATAGGTCCCTCACCCACCACCCCCATAATCTAGGTTCGACCCCACCAACCCTTCCCCTCTGCTTGCCTCCGGGGTAGGTGGGGCAGGGCTGCAGCGGAAGTGGGCAGGGCCAGAAGGCAAGAAAACAAACAGGGGCAGCTGGGGCCGGGGCTGAGACTTCCAACAACCTATCAGCAGGGACTCCTGTCCTTTGCCTCTAGGGCTGGGGACTCTGGGCCCTGGTCAGTCTCTCACTCAGGCCAAACCACCCCGTCCTGGCTCACAGGCCACCTGTATATTCCTGTTCCGCGGAGGGGCCCCGGAAGCCCCCGCCTCCGATCCGGCCGGGCCTTCCAGCTCTAGACCCAGGCTGACGTCCTCTCTCGGCGGGTCTTACCTGCGCGGCTCGCTGGCTGTCCCAGGATGCAGCTGCCCTCGGTTCAGGAGCCGTCCAGGCAGCTTCCTGATCTCTCCACCCCTTCCTACAGTCCCCACCCTAAGTTTCAGTTCTCCTCCAGGCCGGGCCTCTTCTCAGAAATCACGTGGTCCGAGCTGCAGGGCAACCGCGCGCCACCAGAGGGCAGCAGCAGCATCTGAGGACCTGGCTGTTGGAATCCCACGTTCGCACACAGGAGGGCTTCTCCCCGCTCAGGCTCATTTCCAACACCTTCCCCCCCAACCCCCTTAGCTACTCCCTGATCTCTGTGACACTGCTGCTTCCCAGGGAGGCCAGGGTCCTGGAGTCTGGCCTGAGTCCTCTGGCAGGCCTTATAGCACCCGTGCATCTGTGTTTTCCCCCTCGTGCCTGCCTGGTGCCTAGTAGGTGACCTCAAATATCAGCCGAATGAAGGAACAAAGGAGGCAGGGGAGGAGAAAGCCCAGGCCAGGTGGCTGGCGGGGGAGGGGCTCCTTGGCCATCCATGGTGTCAATTCCTTCCTGGCCCTGAGTCCAAGGAGGGTCAGGCGGTGGGCTGCAGGCGACCCTTTCAGCAAAGCTCTCAGTTCACCCCCCTCTCTCCCTGGTGCCCCAGATGGTGGGGCCAGAAGAAGGACCACCAAAAAGCCTGGGCAAGGAGATGCCTCTTTATTGGTGCTGGAGCTGTTCCTGAGGAGGTCGGGCCTTGAGACCCTCAAGAGGATCCTTGCCCTCAGCTACTTCCTCCTGCGAGGGATACTTTGTCCCAAGGGCACCTCTTCCATCAGCTTCTGCAGAAAAAGAGAGAAAATGATCACACTGGAGGCCTAGAGCTCAGACGCAGGCTGGACAGGGGACTTCTAGGGCGTGGGTCAGAGGTGAGGCTGGGGGGAGGCTTTACCTGTAATAGGCGGGCGTGGTAGGCGGGTGCGTCCTCTCCGGCCACTGGCTGAGGGCGTGCGTGCAGATAGCGCTCAGCAGCTGTTTCCAGCTCCTCTACCTCATACAGGGTGGCTGGGTCCAGTGAGTGGGCATTAATGAGGCTCACAAGATATTCTTTGTAGTGTGCCCTGGGAAGATGACAGGGTATTTGTTCTTCCGTCTGGCTAATATTAAGCGAGTGTGCCCAGCACCTTGCCGGGCACTGGCATACTCAGACGAACAAGACTGACTACTCTTGCCACTTGCACTGGTAGGCACACACTCCTTGTGCACCACCTAGCCACGCACTTGCCCAGAGAGCTCCCCTCCCACTTCCCCTGCAGGCCCCACCACCCCCGCAGACCCCCTTTACTCCCCAGGTGCACCCTCCCCAACACCATGCTCCATGCTGTGCCTGACACTCACTGGCAGAGCCCAGCGTGGCCAGCAGGAGTCTCCTTGCCACAAGCTTCATCCCGGAACCCATTAGGAACCTCCTTCTGCTCCATCACTCGGCAGCCACCTAAGGATAAGGGAAGGAAGGGACCCTTGTGTTGGGAGGAGGTCACTAACCACAAAGCCCCCAGAGAGCTGGGATATCACCGGAGGGAGGCAGGCGAGGCAGCCTCCAGGGAGGGGACTTGCTCTAACGGTGCTGGGGGTCAGAGGGGCGTGGGAACTTAGAGAAACCATCGTGGCAGACCAACTCTGATACAGAAGCAGGGGCCTTGCTGGCCCTGTTTTTATCCAAGCTTGCTTTTGGTCCGTAATCTCTACTCTTTCTCTTTATGGTCACATACTCTCTTGAGACAACTCTTTTGGCTGTGATTTAGCTCGTGCCTAGTTAACTTACTCTGGGAAGGTCTTACCTTATGGTAATAAGGGGTGGGGCAGATTAGAACCATAGGTAACCTCTTTCTATTGCCCTCACGGGATCTAAAACACTGCAACTAGCAAGTCTCGTTACTGAGTTAGCGAGTCATTATCCTTTGGCAAGGGGAGAAGGAAATTAGGATCAAGTGCCAGGTGCTTCAGTGTGGCCTCATGCAGAACAGCTGAGCTGCAAAGTAGGCGTATTACTCCGTCACAGAGGAAGAAAGTAGGCCCAGAGAGGTTAATTTGCCCAGAAGCACACAAGTCAGCACAGGCCGAGCTCTGACCACACACCCAAGCCTCCCCCTTACCCACAACACAGTGGGAGCCCAGCCCGCCCTCACCCCTTCTCCCAGGCTTGTCTCGACACTCACCGCCAGGAACCGCCCGGGCCCCTGCTGGGGGCTCTGTGTTGAACATGACATTATTGTCCTGAGGAGGGGCAGAAGGATGGGCGTTAGGTTCCCCTTGATGCCAGCCCTGCTGAATTGCCCAGCAGGGAGCCTTTCCTTTCTTGCCACCCGGGGCCCTGCCTCCTACCCTGGGCAATCTGCAAACCCAGCCAGGCTGGCCACCCCTGACCTGTAGCAGCTTCTGGAGCCGGAGAGCAGTCCAGTCCCGCAGGTAGAAGAGGCAGTCTCGTGGGTGGTGGCCATGCAGGGACTTTTTCACCCTGCAGTTAGGGTCTGGACATTTCTGGCGGAAACCCAGATGGGAGAGGGGAAGTTGGAGACGGTTGGGGTCCTGGCTTCTCAGAACCCCTGCATGAGGGGTCTAGGGATGGGGGAAGATGGAGATATTGGAGGGTCTGGAGCAAGCAGAAGGGGGGAGGGGACAGAGAGAGATGCTTTACACCCCACTGGCCTCCCCTTCTCCTCCCCTGGGCTACTCTTCCATGCCTCTGCCCCCCACCCGATGGCAGCCGCCCACCCTCCTGTCCCGTCCGCCCCATTCTCCGGGCTCACATTCTTGGCGTAAAAGGCATTGTAACAGCCACTGCAGAACTGATGGCGGCACTGGGTGCAGTGAAAGTGCATGCAGCCTCCTCGGGCCAGTGCGTACGAGAACTTGCACTTGGGGCAGTCTGCAAAGGACAGCAGGTCAGGGCTGGGGCTGCCACCGCTCCACAAGGCCCTTAGAAAGAGAGCCGCGGGCAGTGACAAATAACCCAGCAAACAGGCCTTGAGGGCCACCCTTACCAATGCCATTCTCCTGGAGATACATGGCCAGGCCCTGGGCCTGGTATTCTGGGTCATTGGTGCGTTTCCAGTTCTGGAAATCCTCGCAGCTCCGGCCTCGGTGCTGCTCCTCCCACTGCAGGACGGAAAGCCAGCATCACCTGAAAACTCCACCCTGGGCCTTTCCTGAGGGCCCCGCCTCTCCTACCTAGTGGTCCCCGGCTTAGTTTGTGGCACTGTCGTTCACCATTGGCTCCCATCTCGAACCGAGGGGCTAGCCTGCGTTCTTTCGCTTCCTCATACCAGCACATATTCACCAGCAGGTCTTCTGTCCACCCCCCAAGCCTATCTCAGCCCTGTCCCTTTTTTACATCCCTACTATGGCCCCGCTACTCCAGGCCAGGTCAGGTCTTGCCTCGGGTCCTGGTGTCTCTGCCTCTGCACCTGCTTGCCTGCAGTGCAAGCTCCACCCTGTGGCCAAGGTGCCTTGGAGAATGTAAGGCGGGCGGCTTCAAGAGCACTGGGAGTGTTCTAGTTTCGAGATTTAGTGGTAGGGTCTCAGGTGGTCATTTTATTACTATTATGTTCTGTAATACAGATGTCACTTTTTGGTATCTGATGTTAAACTTTTTAGAATATGTGCTGCCAAAGCGAGCACTCAAATATTAAACTTCTTAAAAGGCAAATGAGATAGTATCACCCCTTGCTTAGTCTTAGAATAAAAGGCAAATACCTTCCTCACTTGGCCTCAAGGCCTCTCCTGATCTGGCAGCTAGCTCCTCTCCGACCGCCTGCCACTCTCACCCTTGCTCTTGGGGCTCCAGCCACACAACACTTTTTCTGACTTTGGCCTTTCCATGTGTTGTTCTTTCTGTCCCGAATATCCTTTGCAAAGCTGGCTTCTTCTTAACTTTCAGGCCTGAGCTTAAATTAAAAGGCCTGAGCTTAAATTAAACCATTTTAGAGAAGACTTGTCTGACTTCTCTATCCTAGGTAGGTCTGTTCTGTTATTCCTAATCTCCGATCCCTGTTTTCTTTATAGAACTTATGCCACGTGTACTTAGGCTCTCTCCCTCCCGCACCTTCTTTCCTTCCTTCCCTCCCTCCCTGCCCCTTCCTTCCTCCGTTACCTTACCTTTCACCCTCCGTCCCCCTCAGCCTCCCGGTCTCCCTCCGTCCCTCCCTCCTTTCCTGACTAGTCTGCAAGCTCCTTGGGCCCAGAGCTCATGTCTGTTCCGTGCTCCGGCATACCCCGAGTCTGACACAGACCTGCCAGTAGCTTAGCGAGTTCTTTCTGAAAGGATGAATGTGCCTCACCTGGCGTTTACAGCGCACACAGAAGGTCTGGTGACACTGGGGACACGTTGCCTCCAGCTGCTCCCGTTCATATATGAAGCCAAAGGAGCACTGTGGGTGCAGGAGCATAAAGTTATCTGAGGCCTGATGTGGCACCCTGCCCTCCCCCCACCCCCTCCAGTCAGCTCCCCTGCACAGGCCACTTACCTGGGCACACCACAAGAACTTGGGGTCCCGCATGAGCACACCCTCAGTCAGCTTCTTGTGAAACAGTGCATAGGCATCTGGCTCCAGGCTCTCCCGAAGCTGGGGACAGGATGCAGAAGTGGTGGGTGGGCAGGGTTCCTGTTCAAAGCCCAGGGCACCCCGAGTCCTAGGGACTGCAGTACCTGGATGTCAAGGGTAGAGAAGTAGCTGAGCAGCTGTGTGTCATCGGTGAGGTCGGGGCGGCCACAGGCAGGGCACACCATGTCGGTGATGTGCTTCTCCTTCAAGGCGATGGTGAAGTGCTGGCGGAAGCAGTCAGGGCAGATGGTGCACTCACAGGAAGTCAGGGCCTGCATCTACAGGGTGAGGCAGGGAGAGGAGTGGGTCTAAAACCACAGCTGCCAGTCTGGGGAAGGGGCAGTAGCCAGGGGTCGGTCTAACTAACGACTGGCCAAGGTAGCAACCTCCAACAAGTGTCTGGCAGGCAATCTAAATGTCTGAAGACAGTCACGGGAGAAAACAGACAATGGTGAGGCCTAAAGTAAACGGAAGAGCACCCTCCGAAGGCACTCACATTCAACTAAAAGCAAACAAACAAATAACATCTCTGAGCTGACAATACTATAGAGATGGAGAACAGACTAGTTGTTGTCAGGTGACAGGAGGAAGGGAAGAAAGTTGCAACTAGGGGTGCCTGGGTGCCTCAGTCAGTTAAGCGTCTGCCTTTGGCTCAGGTCATGATCCCAGGACCCTGGGATCAAGCCCCGCATCAGGCTCCCTGCTCAGCAGAGTCTGCTTCCTCCTCTCCCTCTGCAGTTCCCCTTGCTTGTGCTCTCTTGCTCTCTGTCTCTTGTCAAATAAAAATCTTAGAAAGAAAGAAAGAAAGTTGCAACTATAAAGGGGTTGCACCAGGGGGTTCCTCTGTGGTGATGGAACAATCCGTATTTTGGTGGTTCCGTGAACCTATATGCGGAATAAAACA